TTTTTTTTTTTCTTTTTAATTTTTGTTCTCTATTGTTTTCCTAGACATTAGAATAGTGTCTGCTCCACAGTAGGTGTGCAATAAATATTTGTGGAAAGCATGAATAGCTAACATTTCTTCTGTGCCTTTATCTTTCCTATTGAATCCTGTCATAACCATGACATATTAGGACCTGAGAAAATAGTCGTCCTTAGCACCAACCAGCTTTGATTTTCCTATGTAGAATATTTCTGATATGACAGTCATTTCTATTTTTTAGGCAATAACAAAACTGACCATAATTCTAGAAAGCAGCTGGATTAAATCTCTTGAAATATTATTGCTCCAGAAGAATCTTATAGATGCATATCTGGTTCAGGATATTTGTTCTCTGCTTCGAACAATAATTAAAACTCCTCATCACTCTCATAATTAGAGCTCCGAGCCAATTTTACAGCTAGTTGATCAAAAGCTCACATAGGAAGGTCAGCATGTTGAAGCCTCGGCTACTTCAAGCATATTGTAAAACCATTAGCGCGGACCTTCTTTCCTTGGCATGACCTCCATATGTCAGGCATATTGCTATCCCAGTTAAATCTCATCATCATTAACCCAGGGCAATTAGGAGGTCTGGGAGGAGACCCAAGAAACCAGTTTTCTACCTGCTGTGGGTGTTGTACCTCAGTGCTACTTTTTTGTTGCTTTTTAGCACTTGTTAATTTGTAGGGTTTTTTTGTTTTGTTTTGTTTTTTCCTAAATCCCCTGACTATCAACAGAAGCAGGCATCCCAGTGTGGGCTGTATATCAACAACTATTGTTTTGTCAAAGATTTATTTACCCCTTGCTTATCATTACTACCCAGTATAACCCCTTCTACTGAAGAAGATACTACAAAGTAAAAAGAAATCTGTACTACAGTGGAAAAATTAAATCTATTTTTAAGAAAAGTAAAAGTTAGATGGACCATGAATCTAAATAGAAGACCTTAAAATCGTTGCCTTGGGCATATTGATGATTATTATATTTTTAATCTTTCTTCCTAAATTTATATCACAAGAGCCTTTTTTCCCTTGAAGCAATCACAGATTGAGAGCACAAAACTCTATTTTGCTTATGACAGTGGGACCTGAAGGTCTGGTTTACCTTAAACTGAAACGTTTAAACAGCTTATAAGGAAACTTACTGAATGTTGAGAGACCTCACCAACACCATCAGTCAGTATGCTGTAAAAAGCTACACATGTCAGTCTCAATTTTTTGTAAAAATTAACATGAAGTCCTTAAATGGTACCCTTTGACCAAATGTATCATTTCATGTGACAGACTTACCAACTTCTAATTATATAGTGTTCCAAACATTCAGGCAACAGGCTTCCATCAGCATGAGTACCAGAGCACAGGTAATGAGTTCTTTATAATACCTGGAGATCTGATAATTTTATTCACTTCAACAAATTTCTATTGTGCATCTATGACTATGAACCAGACATATGAGCCAGACAACATTTGAGGTACTTACAATACATCAGTGAGCAAGATGACACTGCCTTGACTTTGCAGAGTTTATACTCATTCATTTAAACTCCTACATGGTTTTAAATCAACACTCTACCTGCAGATACAGAGGTATGAAATTCTTTCCTAGGAAGTCCATTTAAAATAGTGTCTTTACATTATTAATAGTGTTAGTTGTTTTTACAGTATTGTCTAGGAAGCACTGTAGAAACTCAAACTACTGGGCCTCAGACAACCTCAGATGTAATATCGTATTTAATTGTGCAGGATGAAACACAGGATTATGAGATATTCACAAGGGTTTTACAATGTTTCTAAAACTGCAAGATGGATTGGAAAAATTATAATAGTGCAAGAAGGGCAATCAGTAAAATATCACAATAATAACCACTAACATGTATTGATTACTTGCTCAGTGCTAGACTTCTGGGCTAAGTATCACCTTTATGATAACTCTCTTCAGAAGATTATCATGTTGTCTTAGCAAACCATATTAATCATGCAGCTAATACTAATACCTGCCATCTATTGCACTAAAGTTACTGTCAAATATGGTGGCCTTCACATGTGGCTATTCAGCACTTGAAATGTAGCTAATACATGTTGAGATGTGCTGTAAATGTAAAATACATATTAGATTTCAAACACTTAGTATGAA